ATATTAAATTAATAAATATAATATATTAGAAAATTAAATACGAAACGTCCGATTAATTTGATTACTTTATATTAAAAATCTAACATTTCATGATTATTAATTTAATAATAATAATATTTTAATTATATAAAAAAATAATTTTCCAACGATTCTTTAACATACCTGTAAAAGTTGACAAAAAACGTTGATGCTACTGATTAACAATTTTGTGCTAGTCGTATATTTTATTTCTTGTTTCAATAACAATAATATACGTTCCGGTATATCGCTGTTAGGATCATCTAAAATTATTTGTATACTGCCTGAACTTAATAATCTATCCAAAAATGCTAATATCGAAGTAATCATTCTTTCGTTCTTATGACTCTCTTCGAATATGATTAACATCTTGTCACATAAGTCTTTGAGACTTTTTTCATTTATTTCTTTTAAATAAGTGAACAAAGCCACGCTAGAATATTTCACCTATATATATACGATGAAAAAAAAAATATATATATATATATTAATTTATAATTTGTATAATTTATCTGAATTTTAATTAATGTATATTACAAAGTACTTACTAATGATTCGCTTAAGCCACCAACGCTGAATATAATTCCTCTTAAAAGACTCATAGTGTATGGTGGAAATTCCAACATTTTAATGAATCGTGGAAACGTTACAGATTCCATTCTCCATTCTATACTGTCTTTACACTCGCTCAAAGGAAATATATTTTTAAGTTCAGAATGATATGGTATATTTGGAAGCGAAGGTTCACTGATACATGTAAAAATGATGTACACATAAATTAATTATTATCCAATTATTAAATACAATAAATGTAAATTTTCAATATACAAAATTTACCTGTGAATCAGAGCACTGAAGACAATGCCAGCCTGGGCACGAATTCCATCTATTCTTTCAACAGCTTGTTGAGCGATGCCACTTATAATATTTGTCATTAACGATTCATTTAGTAAAGATAATAAATTAGCTTGGAGAATTAAATTAGTAAGAACCTTAAAATAAAATATATTTATTATTTTCATTGTGATACGAATAATGATATAGTAATCTAAAAATTACTAAACTTACATGCAAACCAGTCATAGCTGCTTCTCGTACCCAGGCACCTATATCACCACGACTGTCTATTGTATATTCTTTTAAAGCAAAAAGATAACAATTGTAAATTTGAGGAGCAAATAATTGCCATACGCCTGTAAAAATGAAATAACATTTGTTTAAATATATAAATAATATATACACATATATATATATATATATATACTTAATGCATAATAAGAATATAATCTATAATCAATCATTAATTAATTGTTTATTAAAGATACTAACCAGCTTCGTTAATATTTAATGTTTGTATTATCATAGTCAAAGAATGTAATGCTTCTTTCCTACTTTCTGCCCATTTTAATGTATTGTCAGATATGTGCGTACATTCAATCAATGCTTCTATAATATCCTTAACTCTAGTCTTTTTGATAAAAAGAGGAAAATGTCCTATCAAAATAAAAACTGTATATATCTGTTCGCTAAATATTTATTACTATTTAATAAATCTTATTATCTCACCTACTGCTTGTGCAAATCCTATTCTTACTACTTGACTATTAGATTTTAAATTATCTAAATAACGATTAACTACGGTATTATAAATAGCTGGATCCAGGTTGGCGTAATATTCGGTAAAAAAATCTGTATGCGCTTCAGCAGCTTTTAATTTGACCGCAGATACCTCGTGACTCAAACATTCTTCTAATAAATTCTGCCAATCGTCTGGGAACACATACAATCAAATTTAATGTCAATATCTTATTATTTACACAATTAATATATAAATATTTTATAAAAAAAAAGAAATACCAATAATATCGGTGTGATGAATAGGGAAATGAACGATTGAACATTTTTTAATAAATACTGCGCAAGCTTGTTTCATCAATTCTCCGCCAAGACCTTTAAATTGACCACGTTTTTGAAACGTACGTATTACATTTTTAATTTCATCCACAGCCGAGGATTCTAAAATATAAATATTTTCATTTATTTTCTAATCCAATTTATTGTATCGATTGATTATAATTTTAGTATGTTAAAAAATTAACCGATTATTGTTTCAATTTTTTTCTCGTAATGATTATACAAAGCTTCTAATATTTCTGCGATAGCTAATACCGCTCCGTGTCTAACGTTTAAATCAATTGAATTCAACATATCCAATAAATTTGGTATTACTGTTTCTATCATATATTGTGGATCTGCTGGTGTTAAATTAAACAAAGCCTGAAATAAAATAAACATTGCATTTCAAAGATAATATCAAAATAATTGTAACATGATTAAATTATAATTAATTCGTAATTAATTACTTTAGCCGATAATTCTCTAATTGCAGTATCCCAATGTGTGACTTTCCTTGAAACCAAATGCTCTATTAAAGGTTTGGTATATTCTTCGTATTGAGCAATGTGTACACTGAACAAAAATTAGATTATATTAAGTAACATAATTATAATTTATAAAATTGAAATTTTTGTTGTACATTAGAAAAATACCTTATTTTAAGAAATGCATGACTCCGTACGCCTACTTCAAAATAATCAGCTACCGTCAATATATCTATACCATGAGGAAAGTTTCCTTGTCTTCCAACATTTTCTTGAAATGCAGCAGAAGCTGCACGTCTACAGTTTATCTGTTCGATGTAAGATTATTCACAATTTTTGTTTTATTTATATTTCAAATTGATAATATTAAATATATACAATAATTAGTAATTGGTTAATAAACAATTCATTTACTATTATATATTTACCTCTCTGTCGAAACATGTTACAACTAATAGACTAGCTGCTATTTCTTTTACATAAGGTTGAAATACATCTGGATCATATGCTCTTGGAAAAGACCAACAAATGTAACACGCCGAATCTCGGATTAAATAACCAATCGAACCATAAGCTCTCGGTTCGTCAAAAACGAGTGCTTGAATTACCACAGGAATAACGTCGCTTAAACGATGAGGTAACAATAAACCACGTCTTCCTAAAATGTAAATGACATACACGTGTATTAATTATAACCAACATAAAATAAAGCACGCTATATAAATTTATTTATTTTACCTAATTCTGCCAATGCCAAACAACCACCGTGCCACGCTGAATCTGATTCACGTCCAGAAAATAAATTTAATACGAATCCAACTACATCGTCTGCCAAATCTACTGGTAACCGGGCTGTTATTCTACCAATACCTTTAGCGGCAGACCACCTATCGATAAAAAGTAAGAATTAAATTAATTGCATATTAATTAAAATAAACAATTAACAATATAATCGTTTGTATTATTCCTTTATATACCTGATAGTGATAGCTTTATCTCTAAGACCTTGAATTAAATGTTCGATAATATCCTCAATGGCTGGTGGTATTTCTTGATCTTCGTTATCGTTTATAATGTTCTCCTTATTTTCAATAATTTCTGTACCGTTGTTCTTACTTAAACTTGGCAACAAACTTATCGGTCTGTTCATTCTTTGATATCTCCAAGAAGCTAATTTGGTTCTTAATAATACAAAACCTAAATTTAATTAAATGTTGTAGAATTATTGAAGAAAAGAATTCTATAATAACGCATAGAATTTACAAATATTCTTACCGATGCGTTGTACAACTTTCATACCAAATTTTCTAATTAAATCTGCCGGATTATTACTCAATTGTAATTTTAATATTTTCTCAAAAAGCATCGTACTGTACGGCCGTACATCTTCTCGCGCACTGTGTTTTAATATCGATGCTATTACAGCCAAAGGCCCGTGTCGTAACGAATCATTTTCAACCGACTAAAATAAATATAAATCAAATTCTAAATTACTAAACACTAATAAACATTAAATTGTTAATAGTTATTTTACCTTTAAACACCATGTTATCATTTCTTCGAGATACAATTTTTTGACGTCCGATCGGGTCAAGAAATTTGCTATTAAAAATACTGCTGCTACTGCACATGCATCCTTCGATAAACAATATAATTTGCATACTTTCATAATCCTAAGAAAAAATATATAATAGTATATTTATAAATTCATTGATAACAACTATTATAAAATCTTACATCATTGTTTGCACATTTCAACATTTAAACAAAAATCTCTAACATCTATCAAGTAATATTATTTTACTTATAAATGTAATTATATATTTGTTAATAACATTAAGTATTTATATTATAAATAAAAATACAGGTTACGTGTTCTTAATAGAAACATAACAGTAATTCAGATTTGAGTTACATGATAATCAATGTATTAAATACTACGCATACAATAAATAT